ACCAATAAAGTACTTTAGAACATTAATATACATGACAGTTTAGTGCCACATACGTGCATATATTGTACACTCAGTTAGCACATACAGTATACACACATACATGGTATTCTCTTTACCCTCATCCCTCCCACCCCAACCTCAAATTTAACTGTTCAACTACAAGTCCCCTACAACATCACCAAGAGTCAGCATGCAATTTCCTCGGTATTTTTCACTGCTGCTTTTGCTTCGTTAGATGTGGTGTGACATGCAAGATGCCTCCACACAGCACATAAACTTTTTCGGATAACAGATGTACTGCCCAGTTCTTAAAAGAGCAAAATACAGAAACCATTTATTTTAATTAAAAGAGTTACAATTCAGTTAGAGTAACTCATGTCCTATGGAAAGTTATCAGCCTTGACTAATACAAGACTGCAAGGGCAGCTAGTTGTACTGGAGAAACACCTACGTGATTCCTACAGCCTTTAAAACATCGGATACCGTCTCAGACAGCTGCTTGCCCCACTACTTTCTAGATATGCCCCTGCTCAAGTGTGGCAGGAATATCCCTCCTTGTGCAAACAAAACACTCATCAAATGCCTGCTAAACATCCAATGTCACGCTATGTAATTTTCAAATCATCAAGCATTTACTCCTAACAAAGTCAGTTATTCTTGTATCCATTGTACTGTTACCTGACGCAGATTCCTGGTTACTTTCACATCATGCCAGGCATTGTCATTAAATTTCCCATTCACAGGTTCCACCAGCGCTTCAAAGGCCCCTGAGCCCAAATTAATGACCAAGGAGACAGCTCCATTTTTCAGCGCGAGATTGACATAATCAGCCGATTTTCCTGTGTGAAGCATCAGTCCGTTCCTCTGAAGCGTTTTAAACGACAGAGTTATTTCATCACTGCTACTCTGTATAGGATTCTGAGACAAATCGTAGCAGAAGTATTCTGATCCCTTGAATGTCGCAATATATTCTTCTTTTCCTGACAAACAAAAGAAAAGAAACAAATGAATCAGTGGTACCCAATTAAATGTAAGTTGCAGGAATTATTTTCATAGTTAATTCAACACTATTACTGTAAGCACTGTTCATTTAAAACACTTAAAACCCATGAATAAAAAAGATAACTAAGATGTACTGGGACCATATTCTAAACCATTTTCTTATAGAATTTTCATGGGTATGATTAAACTCAGAAAATATACTGCATCAGCAATTGTGTTAATGTTATTTAAGCAATCTGAAACACATTTAAGTATTTAGGTGAACAGGCAAACCAAAGCATGACTCCAGTGACAACTCCGATCTTTCTCTTCCCAACTCTCACTAAAATCACGACATCTCAAAGAGAACCGATAACCTGGACACCTCAAAGCGCCTTAGCCTAAGGTCTCAAATAAACCAAAACTACAAACAACCCATTTCCGCATCTGCCTCATTCAAACCCACACACAGCACCGTGCCAGACAGTGAGTTAACACGCAGCTGTAAGCAACTAGTTTTGTCCCAGGATGTACTTTTACCAGCCAGTATGTGCCACACAGATGATTTTCTTAGTTTATCCTGTACAACACATATGGAGATTTGGTTTTCCCCTGAAGTCCTACAGATGAACACATCTGACCTTGCACTACACATGCAGAGAGTTTGGAGCTGTATGAAGTCAGGATTTGTTTAGCTAATAATAACTGTTAGCAAAATTTCAGTGGAAACCTGTGCATGTTGGTGCAGTGGAGGGATGAAGGTATGAAAACCTGAGGATGTCAGATTTCATCATTCTTGAGAATAAACTCAGTTTCCAGAACACAGCTGCATACATCAGTCTGTGATACCATCAGCACAAATCCCAAACATATTTATAAATATATAGATAAGGGAAATAACAACAGTGTGAATTTAAGAATGACAGACAATGCGAAATGCAGGTGTGAGAATACCGCTTTTTGCGAAGTCCCTGGGCATATCTGCCTTCTGTTGGTCCACGTCATCTGCTTACAACCCCCAGCTGTACATTAACACTGATACTAGATATTAGCAATGCTGCTTTTTACTGTAGATAGTAGAGCATACTAAGTTCAGATAGCACTGCAAAGTAACTCCACATCGGACTCCAAACAGCAATTGTGGTCTGGCTTAACTTTGCTTTGTAACAAGAATATTAAAACATATTTGTCTGTATTTATTCTGAAGTGCTACCTCACAGATTTGATGGAGAATTCTTTGGAGTGCGTTGGTTTTGGGGGTTTTTTTGTTGTTTTTGTTTGTTTGTGGGGGTTTGTTGTTGTTGTTGTTTTTCTTTTAATTATTTTTTTTTTGTGGCAGCAGCCAAATCAGTCCTGCATGCAGAACATTACACTGATAGCAACATGTCCCGGTCCCCAACACGTTTCAGTAGAGAAGGCCAAAATTAGCTCATGAAGAATTTACAAACAATGCATTTTCTAGGGTTCCAGTGCACTAAGCAGCAGACTGCATGAATACCATGCATCTCATTTAATGAATATTTAATAAAACCATAAAACACTCAAGAGCAAAATTATTTGGTACGGATGCCTCCTGCAAGGGCATACTAAACCAGCATGAGTAACTGCAATGGACAGACGATAAAACTTAAATGCGGCAACTTGGTACATGTAGTTTTGTCCCACGTTTTTAATGACTGTAACACAAGAAGCTGAAGGACATAAATGAATCAATATGCAAAATATTTATACATACAGATTATACACTGTAAACTACCTCTGTAAAGCCAGATCATTCCCACAGACACGACAATGCACAGAAGTGTTAACACATGCCAGGAACATTTTTTTTTTTTTAATTATTCCTAAAGAAGGACCTGAAGAAGCAAGCAGGAGTATTCATTCAAGAAGAATTATAACCCCAGACGGTAAACAGAGTCATAATTTGCAGAAACACAAAGAAGCCTTTAGGGTTGTGCTGGGCTGACCTTGGCAAGACGCCCACCCAGCCGCTCTCTCACTCCCCGTACTCAACAGGGCAGGGGAAGAAGATCAGATGCAAAAGCTCTTGGGTCACATTACAGACAGGGAAACCACTTACCATCACAGGCAAACAGAGGGAACTCAGGTAGAGTTAATTTATGGCAATTAAAATTGTTTTGGATGGTAGGAAAACAAATTTAAAACACCTTCCTGCCACTGCCTTTGAATGAAGCTCGACTTCATTCCTGTCACTCCTTCATTTCCAAATTTTCTACCACCACCTTGAGCAGCAAAGGGGATGGGGCTGTGATCAGGCCATGGCAGCTCTCCCTGCTGCTCCTTCCTCCTCACGCTTCTTCCCTGCTCCCGTGTGGGTCCCTCCCGCGGCAGTCCTTCAGGATGAGCCTGCTCCTGTGTGGGCTCTCCACAGGCCGCAGATCCTGCAGGAAATCTCCCCCTGCTCCAGCGCGGGTTCTCCAGGGGCTGCAGTCCTGAAACTTTCTTTCTGCTCTTCCTCCTCCTCTCACCGTGGTCCTCACAGGACTGTTCCTCATGCTTTTGCCCTTCCTTACATAAGGTTTCCCAGAGGGTGAAACACTGCGTGACAGTGAGGACTGAGGAGGATAAAGTATCTATCAATCCATAAATGTAAGTATTCAAGGCTAAAACCTTTTGACTTAATTGCATTTTCCTTACAGGAGAAAAATAAAAAGATAAATAAGCAATTCTACACCTCTTCATTGGAGGAAAAAAAACCAAGCAAACCCCACAAAAGTAAACAACAAACAAAAAACCAGCTTGAGTTGTCATTGGAAAGACAAAGTCAGCATCGCTGCGACAGAAAACATCTATATCCTATGGATCCCATTGGATGGCCCTTTGGAAAAACCAGTAACAGCGAACCCCAAACTCTGCTGCAGCAATCTCTTAAAGCACGGTATGCACCCTGGAGCATTCACTTCCATTTTTCCCACTCCTTTTAGCTTCAATAATAAGGCCAGTGACACTCAGTAACGTCACAGAAGAACTGTCATTAACTGGTGTGTTTAATAATCTTCATGCCTAAACTAGGTACTTGTTTAGATATTAGCTACAAGCGTTAGATATCCTGTAGTTGTTCCCTCCACATTGCTGTGCCATCACTCTGGCACATGAGATGATGAAAATCAACTCGTATATGAAGCTTCCCCCAATTCACAGCAGGGAGAGACCCCATTTAGGACATTTCCGGAAAGAATTCATGAATCTGGGGTTTAACTTAATCACCAACTTCAGCAACAAAACTGTACAAAAATCTCAAATCTGAAGTTTTGGGAGCCAAGTGATTTTTTTTAAAGTTATGCTAAAGCATTCAATTTTTAAGCAAATTACTTAGTTTGCAGCAAACGAGCACTCTTCTGTTTAAAAATTGATTTTAAAATGAAAAACAGAAATGCCAAAACTGAGTATAACATTTTACTTTAGAAAAATATTTTGGTTGAAAAACCCAAACACTATGGATAAAAGTTTTAATTGCATACTTTTCCTGCCAAACTATCTTTTTTGCTCACCTGCCAAACCAGACATGTCCACCACTTGCTATTATACCATTGTAGATGTTACGTGGAGATGTGGTGCTTAGGGACATGGGTTAGTGAGTTAGGTGGTGTTGGGTTGGACTTGATGATCCTTGAGGTCTTTTCCAACCTTAATGATTCTGTGGTTCTATGATTGTAGGATTGAGTTTCCCACAGTCAGCCTTAAGAATTCTTTGCAATGCTACGATACAGACCCTGTACCAGGACTGTGTTAGGGTAGGATGCTAGTGTGTCAGAGCACTAATATTCCTCAGCTAGGTCACATCCACACTTCAGATAACTGGGAGAGGTTCCGACCCAACAACAGTACGCTGATGGGCTGCCGAGCCAAGAGATGAGCCCTCCCCTCTGCGGGATTCGAGACATCACCTTCCAAACTTCCAGTTGTGCAGCTATGGGCACCCTGACTGAACGGCATCGTTCCCGATCTGGACTGGCTCCGTTTAATCCGTTTCCTTTGCCATTTAATGTTTTAGCCATCATGGGGCCCTCATAAGCTGCTGGAAGGCCAGCTCACAGAGGAGCACAAGGACTGCCAGGAGCTCAGATGTCACATTTTGTGATTCTGGTAATCTCAGAAATCTCATTTCTGAAGAGGAATCTTCAGAATAACTTCTCCAGGCAAGCTCCAGCTGTAGATACAGCAGCAATTCCCCTTTTCTCAGTATATTTTCAGCAAAACTCATTAAATTGAGATTTTTAATGTAAAAGGCTTTTAGGAAGCTAAGGCTGAAACAAATGAAATGATTCAGCAGCATTTTGATATATTAGGAAATTCACTTCTGGTAGCAATAGCCTAAAGAACTTTGATTTTTATTCTGATGAGTTTCAGTGCGAGAGAGGAAAAAAAAATAAAGTCTGATAGACAAAAGGTCACAGGTTTTGACTGAGCAGATAATGAGACAGTCTGCATACCCAACTAGGTAGTTATCTCATTTTCCAGTAGGTGCTGCCTAAGAACTACAATACTTTTCCACAGGCATCTGACAACTGAAAATACACTTCTTGGCATTAGAAAAGAATGAATCACAAAAACTGCTGTTTCAAACGGTTGAAGGGAGATAAGTGTATAACGCCTTTTCACAGGAAATATTCCCTTATAATTTGGAAACATCCATGGCATGAATTCAAATAATATTTACAGTGACAATATTCTAGTTTGGCCAAACTGCACGATACAGAAATTCTTTGAAGGGAGAGGAGGCAGCAGTAAACTCTCTCTACATTTCTCCAGTCTTTGGAGTAATGCACTCCTCATGAAAAATTAAAACTCCATCTTACAATCACTTGGATGCAACCCCATATCTTTGCCCTCATTGTGTTTTGTCACTGGGAACCAGAGACATTTCTAGCAGACAGACAGCAGGAGCCACGTACAAGTCAAAATGTTTCATCAATTAGACACAGGACAGAAAAGCCACAAAGCAATACTGGTGACCACCCCTGTACCAACTCTCTCATGTCAAGCGGATGTACTATTTTACTCTTGATATGAAACTATATATTTAGAATGAACAGACTGGAAAAAATTATATAAAACATTCCAATGTTTTATATAAAAAAACAGCTATCTATTGCTAGATTTCAGACCGCAACTTTCATTGATTTTAAAACTGAACTAATAACAGGCTTTATTCATAACCAATTGTGTATACTGCCGGTTGTTTGTTTATTTTTTCAAATTATCACTTAATGACACTTAGAGAAACCATTAAAAATGCATGGCAGTCATTCTAGTCAGTATGAAGTGTTGCACTTCATTTAATGACTAAAATGTAATTACCTGCACAGAAAAACACAAGAGAATATGAACACCAGCAGTGGAATTTAACGTATTTTTACTCAGAATTTTGAGTACTATAAATTGTTGTATATTACTGCAGTTAGAATCCTGAATAATGCGACGTGCATAAAACCAGAAAGACATGATCTGTTTGTGTCACAGAAAGGAGTCAGACAAGAGGCATGTTTTATAAAGCACCTGCTAGTGCAGAAAGGGTATTTTTCCTATTTTTTTTTCTTACAGTTTGCCCTGTTCCCCATCAAAGTCAACAACGTGCATAAAACCAGAAAGACATGATCTGTTTGTGTCACAGAAAGGAGTCAGACAAGAGGCATGTTTTATAAAGCACCTGCTAGTGCAGAAAGGGTATTTTTCCTATTTTTTTTTTCTTACAATTTGCCCTGTTCCCCATTGAAGTCAACAACAATTTTAATATTCACTTCTTTGGAGATTCATTTAAGTCCATAGGGTCTGATCAAGAGGACCAGAAGAAATATTTCCCCAGGCCTTAACAGACCTTCCAAGCCTACCCAAGCACCACAGTAAGCCTTACAGCATCTCTAGCCTCCTCCCTGGCAGTACTATGTCATAAAATGGGTCTGGCTGATTCCATAATGACTTCATCATGCGTCCATGCATGATTTCAATCAAATGCCTATGACTGGATGCTCTGGTCTTATTAGGTAATAACAATAATGGGACCATACCCTGAAGAAATAAAATTGTCCTGAGAGAGTAAGTCAAAGCTACTTATTGATAGCTGCAATAATTCTTTACAGGAGAAGAAACCAAAAGTCTTAAAGTTTATTAGCTAAATTCCAAGGACCCACGTCATATAACCCATGTCTATTATTATAGAAACAAGATGTAGGAGAGTGCTGTCAATTCACCTGTCTACCTACCAAAGGAACGATTTCCAAAGAGAAAACAAGCTGACACTGGTGATACTCCTAAGAGCCAAACTCCTTCTGTACAATCTTCAAAACATTAAATACGGACTGAATAAATAAATAATGCCAAACCAGGGTCTAGTATGTTCCCAGGTGTACTGTTTTGTGCTCCATTTCACGGCAATTTGAAATTCAAACACTTATTCATTACACCATCTTCTTATTTATAAAGTCTTTCAGAAAGTAATGCAGCTAGGGAAAACTACACCAAAGCAGCATAGAGACAAAACCATTAACAAGGACGACTGATACAATAAAACAAGATAGCCTGAATTGCTACTTCTGTGGTAAACATCAAAAATCGGAAACTTTGCCTAATAGCAAACAAATGGCTTCCCATTCCATACAAGGGGAATACTCTCTGCGTACCGTTGAACCTGGAATGATCTCAGGATGCACCCCACACAAGGCTTCTCAGGATACTGCCATACAGGCCAGCCTATACCCTTCCATCAAGACGTCACTCGCTGAACTTAAAATGAAAAACTATAAATATAAAGCATTCCTCCAAATTTTATACCTTACTGGATTGCATATATAAATCATGCAGGCACTCAAAGGAGTGTGTCTGCTTAACACATTTAAGATTTAAATATGAAACCAACAAAAATTATGAAATCATAGAATCACAGAATGGTTTGGGTTGGAAAGGACCTTACAGATCATCCAGTTCCAACCCCCCTGCCATGGGCAGGGACACCTCCCACCAGCCCAGGTTGCTCAAAGCCTCATCCAGCCTGGCCTTGAACCCCTCCAGGGATGGGGCATCCACAGCTTCTCTGGGTGACCTGGGCCACTGCCTCACCACCCGCACAGGAAAACATTTCTTCCCAATATTAAATCTACGCTCTTATGATAAACCCTAAAAAATTAGTAATTCAAACGGAGTACAGATGGTCCACTTTATCAGTGAGGGTTGAATTAAAAGTACTGTTGTTGCCATGTACTATCAGGTTTCAGTTCCTATCTCACTTCAATTTTATTTTTTTTAAATGGAATAATCTCCCATTCTTCCTTCCTTTTCTCATTCTTTTGTTCTTTTCCAGCAACTATTCTCTTTGCCCTCTAAACAAATCTTCACAGAGAACTCCAAAGGAACAGTTCAGGGAGAAAATGAGATTCATGATTCCAAATCCACAACCAGGAAATATCCACCTGTTTTTTTTTTGTTTGGGTTCTCCCTTCCACCCCCATGTAATATGGATCCAAATCCCTGGCTCCCTTCCCCATTAACAGGGTGTACGCTGCAGAAGATACAGCGCGCTGGAATAGATCCTCTGGCAGGAACCGGAATTGCTGTTCTTGAGCATCTTGTCAGCGTAGCCCGAAATGTGCTGCACACCCATCGCTTTAATACTTCAGCAAACTTTTGAGTAAGAAACAAGATAAGTCTTTATTACACATAAATCAGCAAATAAGGAAAGTCACATTCACAGGCTGATAAAAGCAAACAGCGACACTGTGAATGGGAACTTTTAGTCTGAAAAGAGCTGTTACAGAAAGGTGAAGATGCAGTATCACAAAACCAGCAGTTACCAGCTCCAGAAAGCATTCTAAAATAAATTTCAATTGAATAGCCACATTACACTACCTTCTTCCTCCTTCAGTGGGGAATAAGTCCATTATGAGATAATCATGGCTAGCCTACAAAACCTTTAAAGCCATGAGTCACTTATTCTGAAGGAGTCAGGAATAATTTCTCAAGGGCTTATTATTATTAATTTAAATGATCCTTTTGCAGAAAAACGCTGTAGAAGTGTCTGTTCATTCCCAAGATCCAGGGAGCTGGTAAACCATCCCAAGTCCTTCTCTAGGAGAAAATGCTGTACTTCAAAAGATAAGGGAAGTACGGCTTTAGCTGTTCTAACCAACAGATTTGCACTGCCATAGTCTCTGTGTAAGAAGTCCACTCTCAGTAGATGTTTGATCTCAAGAAGACACTACCCCTGAAATCCTGGGCAGCCAAGTCTGCACTACGTGTATCCAACACACAAATAAAACTAGTATACATTTAAGGAAACTAAAGTGCAAAGTCAATTCCTCTTGTCAGGCGGAATTTAATAGCATAGGCTAAATCAAGTCATGTATGATATCACTTAGCAGTTGCAGAGGAGAAATTTGGTAAAGCTTTTCTAGCTCCTATTTTATTGTATACACAATCATTAAATTAATTGCCAATTACAAGAAGTATGAACTTAGGCAATGTAAGCCTCCGATCCTTCCCCATCTCAGATTAGAATAAAAACTCTGATAGTTGCCACTCATGATAAATGACTTACAGGGAACACTACATAAGTGATAAATTACTTGATTTTGCTAAACAGCAATTTTAGTTCATTTCTAAAATGGCTAGACCATGCAATTTCCTCACTAATTTTCAGTTCTTTTTATTTAATCACACACTTCAAAAGCAAATTTGCAGTTGGGGAGGGAGAAAGAAGACAGCAGGAGCTTTTAGGAATGATGCCATCTTAGCGTACATTAAATACTAGCCTACTAGAAGGTGAAAATAAGTCGTTCTTTTTCCTATGAGCAATCATATAACTAAAACATAGACAATAAAGTCCTGCAGTTTTTAATTTTTCCTCTCTGTAGCTACGAAACTTCTGCAAATGCAAATTTTAAAATGAATCTGGTTTGAGTGATGACACAGGAAAGGTAACATTCCTCTTGCCCACCCTGGGCTGGCTCCCTTCTGCCCTGCATCTTACAGGGAAGAGCTACACAAAAAACAAGTGCACTTGTTC